CCTTGGAGAAGAAAACGTGAGTTCCTCACAAGTAAATCTGCTAGAGGTATTGGCTTTCTGGGTTGATGCGTATTGCTGTTATTTGGCACATGAAAAGCAGTATGCTTGTAACTTTGAGTGATCATTAGTTGAGTCCGAGAATTAAACTCTTCTACGGCGTTTAGCAATCCGGAGCTACAAACTACTATTATTTGCGATTTCAGTTAATCGTCAATACCTATCCCAAAAGCAGTCGTCATCAACAGCTTGAGCAAACAAAACGTGCACTTTCGTGCAATGGCTTTGCTTTCTGATTCTTGGCTGTTCAACTGAATACATTGTTGAATTGAACACTTGAATTTTGCAATTGGGTTCGCGGTTCAAGAAGCGAAATTGAGTTGAAACAGACTGTAAAGACAAAGTGAAATATGTACGGACACCGCTGCATTTGAGCTCAGCCCTTGTTTCTATCCATAAGTTAGGCTGATCCAGAGAACCCTATCCAGGAAAACTCACGTTAGAAAAGCACATTTTTCCCAGTTGGCCACTGTTCTTCACGTTACCGATGGCTAACTCGACCAACTTTGCACACTGCCGTGATCCATTTGTTGACACGTTTAACCCATAACCGAAGCAGCATGATCTACTGAGTTTGAGCACTTAGTTTTACGCTCTACAGTAATCACTTCAAGTTATAACCCTAACCTTGGTATTGATTGTCCGTTCCCTACGTCCCCTAGCTCGTGCACTGCTTCGTAAAGAGCGCGACTCGAACAATAGCAGTCTATATTTAAGGTTCTCCTCTAACGGTCAAGCTTCTCCACTATATCACAGCACCGGTAGACGTGCTTCTGCAAAAAATATACACTTCATCAACTGCCTAATTAAGAGATGGCACTGGAAACGTCTCAAGTAGGAAAATACCAATTGAGTCTTTCGCATGCACGCAAAAATCCCATTCGCGATACAACTACCAGGTAAGATATAAGTGCAGAAAGAGCGAAACTACCTGAAATTTTCGAACACTCCGATTTGGGGATGCTGTAAGATGAATCAATCCAATTGTCTTCCAATAGCATGCATTTTTAATATGCAAAACGGTTATTGACAAGACAGGGCTAATTCTGAAATGAAACCCATTAGAAGAATGGATGGTGAATGTGAACGATGGCAACTCGAATGAATGTGGCCTTCCATGGAGAAATTGGGTCAAAACATAATATAACCTCAGAGTGCGTTTCGGTCGTTAATATTTCTTTAAAATCTGTCCACCATCAGCTGCAGAATCCTAGGTTCCATAATTACAGCAAAAGGACTGTATTGTTAATCCCAAATACCGATTTGGAAAGCGAAAATTTTTCCCCAGTAACTGCTTTAGACAGGCCGAGCGAAACTAGTTGAACAACCTACCAGCATTTTCGGTGATCCAGAGTTTCAAGATATGCTTCAATGTAGGAGACATAGCACCGGCGATGGTTGCCATCAAACGTCTCTCTTCAGTGAAACAGCTTACCAGAAGAGTAGAAAGTACACTGTCACATGCCAATCCGAAAAAAATCAGAAAACCATATGTTTCTGGACCTGACCAACTGAGTTACCGTTAAATGCAAGCCGTAGGGAATGTCCTGCAAGGTCTTTCCAATTGCGTTGTTTGAGGTCTTCTGGAACGATGCACGATTCTCTCTAACTTCACCACATTTAGGGGAAATGATCGTCAAATACGTAGCAGTACAGAACTAGAAACATGATTCAGTCACTGTTGGAAATGAGTTTTTCTACACGAGTTATTCCTCGATAAAATAGTGGTTAGGTACATCGCGAATACTACGGCTGATACATCGGTACTTCATGAATAATTGAACAACCCCGCCAATTCCTTAATCACGAAACGATCTTGAGACGGGGCAGTTGTGGTTATATTGCAATAATATCAGATAGCACTAGGCACGCACCATGATATAGCTTCTAAACAGCCAACCAGGAGGCGGATATTCTGAAAAATCGGGTGAAACCCAGTACATGTAATGGTATTGAGTGGAAGTTGAGAAGCAAACGAATGGACATTGGTGTGATAATTAAATGTATCAAAGTGCCAATGATATCATTTATTTGTATTTGCTTCCTTTCCGGAACAGCAATCAGAGTTTACACAAATTGATATTTTTAACCGTACTTCACTATAAAGCGATTGGGACCCCGGTTTAAAGGCACGTGATACAGCGTACGATCCCTTTATCAATTTAGGTTAATGAATATCTGCATGTGTGCGCAAGTGCGTCGAGGGTAGCTGACTCGTTTTTACTGGTGGGTATCGGAATAGAAAAGAAATCAAGAATTTCTTAAACATATATCGCATCAGGCATTTACATTCATAAGTTTATCATAGTATAAATCTCTGATTGACCAAATAAAGCTCGATTAGTAACGATGACAGAGGCAAGCACGCAGGTCAAACGAATATGACACGGCTAGTGATAGTCGTGGTGGGGATGAAAAGACAAAGGTGAATTGGACAACGTTAGAGTTATGAACAGAATAAAATGAAGGTTGTGAGCTAAGACGAGAGAGCGGGATGAAGTTACGTAAGATACAATGGAGACTATATTTAGTGTATAGCAAGTGATGTATTTGGGAAGGGACACCGGAGACAAAAAGGAAACAATTCGTTTTTAGGATTGTGTTAGATGATACAAAACGAGGAAAACGGTTTTACTTTATTTTATTGAATGAGCAATGAAGGTTTTTCATGAAGGCTGATGTGACAAATCAAACGAATACCATGCACAAATGGTAAAGTCTGGGTGTGGTTGGTTGCATTCCAGCACTCGTTTTCCGGGGTGATAGTTTGATGACGTTAACACCGGGCTACATCCAGCCGTCACATTTATGATCAAATGTTTCTATCAGCACTACGTGTGTAAACTAGGATTCCATATAAAAGTAACTCATAATTTTATTGAAAGCAGTTCAGTTGTCTGCCTCCTCTAAAGGTATTCAGGCTTTGTTTGGCAATCGTCCGACCTACTGGTTATAGCAGTTCTACGATCTGTTGGGTCAATATTGTAACCAGCATCAAAACACACAAACCCAGAAAAGAACAATTTTGACAATGAAAGATACCGATGTCATTATACGTCTAACTTCAAACAAGGATATCACATAGTCTCGACCGGATAAAAGGGGCGGGCTGGGTTTTCCTCGATAAAACTGATCACCATTCTAGACTAAAGAACAGCCTCAACGACTCCAGAAAAAAAACCGATGGACCAGATGGGAAAGACATGACAGAGCAAACAAAATCTGTGCTAACGTCCATCTTGAAAGAACTGAGTATAAAGGGTGACATACCACAAGCGGTTTCTGAAAACAATTTACACGCGAATTCTGCTTTCTATATTGCTCATGATCATATTCCTCGATTGAAATGAAAATGGCAACATATCGGTTTTTACCCTGTGGATATCTTAGTAACAAATTCACTGAAGTCAGACTGAATCACGCCTTCCGTTTTCCAAGATAACTCATAGAATTGTGTAATGAATGTGACAAAATCCTGCGAGAACGCGAGAGAACTTAGACTTCTACATACCAAAAGATGCTACATATAGGTAGAGGTTTAACCAAGTTTGTCACAAACACCAGTGTTTCCTAGCGCGGCAAAAATATATGTTTACACTTGGGACCATGGATTACACTGTTTGCTGTGGAACCTGCGATAAGCAATAGAACACCAGATCCTGGCTGTTAAACTGATACTTTCTTTTACACGACTAATATATTATAATAAATAATATTATGTCAGCATGTTGACGTTGATGTTCTCATTGAGATATTTATATTTCAGGCAGATTATAATCTTCAATGATACCCGGTGAGCAACATATTCTATACCTGCCATCCGAGAGAATACTTGTTTGAACGCTTGCTACTGTCAGCTTTTCCTATCAGAGTTTGGGCAATGAATTTACCACGTCCCTTGAAACAAGGAGCTTTCCTCTTTCATCTACTTCAATATATTTGTTCTTGCGGGCTTCTAGTATTTTGCAAACAACATACCTTGCAAACACATGTTCCCGCACATGCTGTTTTTACAGTAC